GAGAGAGAGAGAGAGAGAGAGAGAGAGAGAGAGAGAGAGAGGAACATCAGCAGGTTGACCAATTGCATTCCGTACGGGCCCTGACTGGGGATCAAACCCACAACCCAGGTATGTGCCCTGACCAGGAATCCAACCAGCAACTTTTGGTGCACAGGACAATGCTCAATCAACTGAGGCACACTGGCTAGGCTTATGTAAATTATTTACGGTGAAGTATAGGCATAGATGTATTTGTAAAGCTCCCCAGAATATATACAGTCAGGCTAGAGACCCACCCTGACCCAATCATGTCTCTACCTGCGCACCGCCCCCATAATCCCTCCAGAGGACACAGGGCAGGGCTATCTCCTTGGGGTTCTTAAGTGCTGGGCCTTCACGTTAGCAAAAGGAGGTCATACAGTTGATTTCTGACCATCCAGTTCATGAAATGACTGCCTAATTCCTGGGCATAGGAAACAGGGATATTACTTTTCAGCCAATACTCTGGGTCCTGCAATCATCAGTGTAGAATCCCTTAGCCAGGCATTTGTCAAGTGCTGTATAATTGTAGCACATGTTTAAACATTATTAAAAGAAAATGAAATAGATTCCCAATAAAACAAAGTAAAACATCAAGTGAAAACTATCATAGGACATTAATCCTCAGTAGGCTTTTAAGAATCTGTATCACAGGAGAGGCCCTTAAGGGTGGAGAAAAGTATCAAGTCTTTATTCATTGGCCCTTCAAAAGGAGTCCCAGGCAACAATTACCTTTTTTGCAGGGTTTTCTGCTAATGGAGTGTGAAGATATCTGTTGGCCCAATAGTTGAAAGTGAGAACCTGGCAGATGTCACTGGCACCCAGCTTTTAGAGGAAAATGCTGTTTCCAATGAAAATGCTGTTCCTCCACTTGTGTTCATGGGTCTCTGTCATCAAGATGCTCACATCCCCAGGAAAACAAGTCCTACACATGAGTACATTTGAGAACAAAGTTAACTTAGAACTGAAGGTCACGCAGAGCATCATAAATGAGCTTCAGGACTCAGCCAGTAGAGAGAGATAAGAGGCACAGGAACATCTGGTAATGTCTCCCAGAGCAGGCACAGCAGAAGATGGGTAAGAAGAGGAGAGAAAAGAAAGAGGGAAGAGAGCAGAAGCATTCTAAGTATCAGAGAGAATTGTAGAGAAAACAAAAGCAAGGAAATGGCATGGTGGAGATGGAACATAAAAATACCAGTATCTGGAGCAGGTGGTCCTCAGGCGAGAGCAGTACAGTGGGCAGGTTGCTGCCAGATGTGCTTTTTCTTCTTGTGCTAAGATTCTTTTGAGTGTTTTCAGATGAACGCTTTCCATGAACATTGAATATCTCTCACTTCTTTGTGTGTTTGTTTGTTTTCAGAAGACCAGTTATGAACCTCTTGAAGTTAGTAAAGCTACATGCAACTCAGTGTAGTCATTTGCTCAGGAGGACAGATATCATGGGCCCCTTGAAAAATGAGAGTTTCGACCTGGTGGTGGTTGATGGAACAGACTCCTGTACTTTCCTGATTGCTGAGAAACTGGCAAGGCCATTTGTGAGCATCCTTGGGACCACGTTCGGAGTGACAAGTTTCGGGCTGCCTGAGCCTGTGTCTTACGTCCCCGCATTCTACTCCTCCCTGACAGATCACATGGATTTCTGGGGCCGCATGACGAACCTGCTGATGTTCTTCATCTCTACCTTGAGGGACTGGTATACCCTCGCTCAGTTTGACGGCACGATCAGAGAACATTTCCCAGAAGGCGCTAGGCCAGAGTTATTTCACCTTCAAAGGAAAGCGGAGCTGTGGTTTGTTAATTCTGACTTTGCCTTTGATTTTGCCCAGCCCCTGCTTCCTAATACTGTTTATATCGGAGGTTTACTGGATAAACCTGTTGAACAAATACCTCAAGTAAGTAAAACCTTTGTACTTGGGCGTAGAAATTGCTAATCATTTCTCCAAGGTGACTGTACAATTTTTATGCTGCCACCAGCAGTAGCAGAGCTGGTATTCCTCACTCAACATCAGGTGACGTTGGTCTTTTTATTTAAACATTCCGGTGAGTGCAAAATGGTACCTCCAATTTCAATTTTTATTTCCTTGATGTCCAGTGATATTAAACACATCACCATGTGTTGATAGTCATTCTTATGTCTTCTTTTTCGAAGTGTCTGTTGATCTTCAATCCCTTTTTAGTTAGGTTGCTTGTTTTTTTATTTATAGATCTGTTAAAGTTCTTTATATGTTCTGGATCAAGATCTTTTCATACTGTGAATACTTTTCTCAGTCTTCAGAGGGCCTATTCATTCTCTTACTATTGTCCTTTGATGAACAGAAGCATTTAAGTGTGATGTTTATAAATTTTTTTCTTTTATCATCTAAGAAATCTCTGCTTATCTCCAGGTGACAAGGATATCCTCCTATGCTCTCTTTTTCTATATGCTTTATAGTTTTAGATTTTACATTTAGGCCTGTGATTTATCTTGAATTGATGTTTGTGCATGGATGAATGTAGGGGGTCTGTGATTTTTTTTTGAATGGATAGTCAGCTGTTCTTCTGTCTTCCTGATTTCTCTAAGACACAGTACCAAGTGCTTAGTCCATAAAACTTGCTAAGTGGTTGCTTCTGTTATGAAAGGGTGGGCTAGTGAGAGACCCAAATCTCATTTTATCTTCTTTTCTAACTACTGCTTTTTCCCCAGCCCTGTAGCTTTACTAACTACAGAGCTCCTGTTTCAGCTGCTCAACCTCAGCCTCCATAAGCCACATCCAACCCCAGACCTTTCTGACCTAAAATACTACAGCCTCTTATATGGAGTCAGCCAACACAACTTACAGTGTCTGCCACTGGCTCTCACTAGGTGGTTCTCAAACTTGACTGCACATCAGAATCACTTGGAAGGAGGGAGGGCTTTAAAAAAATGCCAATGCTGGGGGCCCCTCCCCAGAAATAATGACTTAATTGGTCTGGGGTGCACCTTGGGCATTGGAAATTATTTATTTACTTATTTTTATTTATTTAATATATCTTTATTGATTTCAGAGAGAGGAAGGGAGAGGGAGAGAGAGAGATGGAAACATCAATGATGAGAGAGTCATTGATAGGCTTCAGCCAACAACCCGGGCATGTGCCCTGACCGGGAATCAAACCCTGATCTCCTGGATCCTAGGGTCGATGCTCAACCACTGAGCCACTCCCAGCTGGGTGGGAATTTTTTAAAGTTCTCCAGATGATTCTAATTTTTAGCCAAGGTTGAGAACCACTGGCTCAGAGAACTACTGGGGAAGGTTTGAGAGGGTTGTGCCTGATACTGGGGCCAGGGCTACGGTGAGGAGAAATATTTCTGACAACCAAATATTTCATGCTTCACAGAAACAAGGTGACATACAGGAACTGGGAGCTGCTATGGGTATCTCATCAATTACATATGCTGCTTCACTGCCAGGGCACCTCCCAACCCAACCCTGGAATACATGCCATGTGGTTTCCATGCCATGAGGAGTAACTCGTGGGATCAGAGAAATGTAGAGAGCAGTGATGAGAGATCCTCTCAGGAGCATACTCTGAGAATGTCATTTGGGTAGAATGGAGGCTGAGAGGAGCACAGATGTCCTTGAACTTCACAGCTCGTCTATGGCAAAGCGCACATAGGTCACAGGGAACTGAGAAAACGGAGAACTTGAGTTTACATTGTGTAAATCGTGACATACATATCATGTGTCTGTCTCTCTGACCATCACTACATATTTCTGCTGCTTCCCCAGCAGGGGTAGATGAAATCCAGTTACTGACCACATGAGGATCCAGATTATCTCCCTGGTGCCTCTGGGGGAAGCTCGTAGTGCAGGGGGAAGGTAAGGGTAAACGCAGTCTTCTGGAGGATGCTCTCAAAAACCGTCCCCCGTCTTCCCTCCTGAGCAATAGAGAAGAATTTGAAATTTAACTTATCAAACTATGAAGCCTGGAGAGAAAGCGTATACCACTCTTGTGATCCTGAGGAATCAAGGCTCAGAAAACCTCCCTCTTCCAGACCATCAGCTGCAGTAGATGTTAACCTGTAGACAGGGGAGTCTTGGATTTACCTTGAACAGGGGAAACTCACAGAGTTCAAATGAAAGGTGTGCTCCATAAACACTGTAACTCTTATTGGCAGCCAGGTAGCAACTTTCTTGTCTTTGCTCTCTCCAGGAATTCGAGAACTTCATTGCCCAGTTTGGCGATAAGGGCTTCATCATTGTGGCCCTGGGCTCCCTGGTGAACATTGTTCAGTACCCGGAGGTTCTTAAGGAGATGAACAGTGCCTTTGCTCAGCTGCCTCAAGGAGTGATATGGAAGTGTAGTCCTTCTCTTTGGCCCAAAGACATCAAATTGGCAGCAAATGTGAAAATTGTGGACTGGCTTCCTCAGAGCGACCTCTTGGGTAAGGGCATCCTCTCTGCTGGCAGGAGCCTTGGCTGCCTTTTCCTCTCCACTTACTTTTTCTTTGGGGTTTATTACAGACCCCACCCCTACGTGGGCACTCCACCATCATGTAAAAGGAAAGCATCTGTTAGTGAAAGGCAAAGCACCAGGAAAGACTGGCACTCTAGGGCCCTTTCATTCATTTATGACCCAGACCAGTTATCCACAGCCACTAGCGATATTCCAGTGGGGTTCCTGTGGCCTCTGGCAATGGACAGGTGATCAGAATCAGCCAGAGCACTCAAGAAGTGCCTGTAAGTGCTTTGGGGCATATCAGTGCACACCAGGAGGGGAGTCTCTGCTTCACAGTGGCCCTGAGCCAGCTGCTCATTATACACAGACACATGCAGACACCAAGTGGTGGCCTTGCAGTGTGACAGACCTCCTCACTGTCCTGTCTGAGATGTCACGACAGCATCACCAGTGGGTTTCCTCTCTGGCCTGTGCTGCATCCTGGGACACCTCATGTGCATAGCAACAGACTGGACCAGAGTTACGTGGTGAATTGGGAACACAGGTTTTTGGTTCTACCCTTGCAAATGTATTTCAGTAGCCTGTGGTAGAGCCCAAGAAATGCACTTTACAAAAGCACATTGGGGGTTTCTGAGTTCCTTGGCTAGATAAATGCCTCCTCAACATTTTATTTTGCTCCAAATGAGAAAGGGATGGTATGACAAGGACTGGCAATACTAAGGCATAAGGCACAATTTATGTTTAAAAATGAATTAGAGGGACGATGAATGGATAGATAGATAAATGCTGGGAGATCCTGAGCTTAGTTCTGTCTCTGCATTCTCAGCTTCAGCTGGTCTCTGGTTCAGGTCTTAGACCTAGGTTTCTGAGGATGCTCACAGAGTGTCTCCCAGGTAACTGCCTCTTTACAGTTGTTCCAAATGCCTCTAGATTCCCTTATTGTGTTTCCCAAGTTCTAGAAATTCTTTCTTAGGCATCATCCTTGCTATCTTTCTTCTTTTTCCTAGCTCACCCCAGCATCCGCCTGTTTGTCACTCATGGAGGGTTGAATAGTGTGATGGAATCTATCCAACATGGTGTGCCCATGGTGGGCATTCCGCTCTTTGCAGACCAGCCTGGAAACATAATCCGAGTAGAAGCCAAAAATCTGGGTGTCTCCATCCTGACAGAAGAGCTCAAGGCGGACACCCTGGCTCTTAAAATGAAACAAGTCATCAGAGAAAAGAGGTATATAGTGGAATTGACCAGAGGGTCCCTGGCTCCTCAAATAAGCTAAAACTCAGCATCAAGATGCCAATGGACCTATTTTCCTCCCTGAATGCCAAGTTAAACAAATGACCCTTATATTTCAATAAGCAGGACTTAGAACAGATGATAGGAAGAATTCTGTCTTTAAAAGAAACTTTATAAAAGTTTCTCTCTTAGAGCTTTTGTTCTCTTGACATGCCAAATATACAATTCTAACCAGGTGCTGGGTGTGGGAGGGTTCCTTTTACTTCTTCAAATTCATATTTCTTTCCTCCAGAGGACTTTGTCCTTAACTGTTCCTGGACATTCTTTCTGTTCTCCTACAATGTCCCCTCTTCCGAGAGGCTCTCTCTGATCAACCCGTTATTCTACATAATTTCCTTCATAACATGTTTCATACTTTATAATTATTCTAAGTATTAGGTTACTTATTTATTGGCCTTTCCTCCAACTCAAATGTAAGCTTCATGAGCAGAGGAGGGTCATGTCTTTCTTACTGATCATGGCCTATCTCACTTCACTGCCATGCACACAGTAGGCTCTCAAGTAACTGTTGGACAGGTGAAGAGTAACTAAATACTAGTCCTCTAAATCACGGCCCAAGAAACACAATTAGGTGCTGGGGTCCATGAATCCCTGGAATTGTGAAATTGTAAAAAAAAAAGTGTGTTTGCATATATACATTTCCTGGAGGGTGTTTGCCTAATGTTCATCAGATTCTCGGTGGAGTCTAATATCCAGAAAGACCAAGAGCTGCTGCTTCTGGAGGGATTATTCCCTCCCTAGAGTGATTCCTGGGTGGCGTTCAGCACGATGCCTACGGAAGGGCAGCCCCAATATTCCCTAGAGACCCTCTTAGCACCCAACTCCCTTCCTGGCAGGCAGTTAATGTTCACAAATGAATAAACTAAATGACACAGGCTCCCTAGAACCGAGACTTTGGAGCCGGGCCTTTGTGTATCAGGGTGGCTCTCTACTGAACAACTGTCTGGACAGTTGAGAAGCTATGATCTTCCTCCCTCTGCCCCAGAGGTCCTGAGACACCTTGACGGTTCCTTGCTTGCAGTCCTCTCATTGCTATGAGCCTGCCTCCCCATGAGGAAGAAGCATCCACCCCAAATGGTTCCAACTTAAACTCATGACCATGGCCCTGACAGAGGCCCTCAAGGATGCCTGACCATCTTATTGTATTTTCCTAATCATCTTTCCTACCTACTCTCCTATACTGTTTTAATTTTATCTTCTCAAATCTCCAACATATTTTTCTCACTCATTCTTTGTTTTATTTTACTGGGGAAAAAAGAGAAGCCACCAGCAAAAAACTTCTACATGTGTTTACCATCAAATTTACCAGCCTACATGCCAAATCTACCTCCCTGCCTCCCTGCCTCCCTTCTACTCCACTGGCTCTTGTAGCTGTCTCCCATTGGAGGCCAGGCCCTGCCCTGGACTAGAGGATCACATCCTCTGACTTATCAAAAGCTTTTGCTTCTGCAGTTTGCCCCACTGTCTCCTGCATTATTGCTTTTCTCTTTCTTTTGGAACACTTTTATCAATTAAAAAAAAAACTTGTTGTAATAACTCTCATGTTTCTCCTCAACTTTTTATTCTGAAAAGTTTCCAACTCCCAAAAAAGTTACAGGAATAATACAATGAGCACTTGTATACCCTTCACCTATATTTACTATTTATTAACAGTTTGCCATATTTTGTTCTCTCTCTCTCTATTTTTTGCAGAATATTACATATGTATACAAATGGCAGAATCCTTTGGGAATTTGTCTTTACCTCTAAAGACTTCAGCATGTGTCTCCCATGAATGAAGCATTTTCCTACATAACCACAGTACAATGATCAGAGTCCAGAAATTTAACAGTGAAGGGTCCTAGACTTAAAACAAACCTTCCTGATCTTACATCACCTTATAGCTATATTCCAAATCTCTGCTCTCCTTCACTGTAAAACTCTTAAAAGGAGTCATCTATACTCTTTGTCACCACTTCCACTTGTCCCTTTCTTTCATCAGCCAACTTCAGTAAGGCTCCCCCACTCCACCAAACAGCTCTTATCCAGGTCACCAGTGGCGTCTACACTGCTAAAGCCAATGACAGCTCTTCAGTTTTCATCTTACCCCATCAACATAATTCATCCCAATTTGTCACTGGTCTGTCCTTGAACAATGACTTCAGTTGACCCAGACACCATACTCTCTTACTTTTCTCCCTTAACTGACTGCTCCTTCTCAGTCTCCTTGGTCAATTCCTCTATTCCACAACCTCCAGACTTTGTAGGGCTCCACACCAGGGCCTGGTCCTTGGATCTCATCTCATTTCTAATCCACAGTTAACTCTTGGGCTTCTCACCTAATCTCATGGTTCAAAATACCCTCTATAGACTAACGTTAATTTCTAAATTGATATCCGCAACCCAAACCTTTCTGCTAATTGCAGTCTATCTTATCACCTTCCTAACTGACATCTCTTCTGATTGTCAAGTAGGCATCTCAAAGTTACCATTACCAGATATCAACTTTGGACTGCTCCCAACACCCTTAAGCCTGCTCATCAAATCTTCCCTGTTTCAGTAAATTATGACTCCATTTTTCTCATTTATCAGGCCCAAACTTTAGGTGTCTTTCATTTAAAGATTGCAAAAACTTAAATAATAAACAAAAGGAAGTATAAGAATTTAAATAACAAACATAATTCAAATTTATAGAATCATTTGTTATTGTAGGATTTATAACCCAAAGAACTTGCTAATTTAAAGTTTATTTTTTAATGATTTAATATCATTTAGGTCATGAAACTTTCAAGAAAAGTCTGATTTGGAAATCCTTCAGAAGTTTATTCTATGATGGTCAGAATCAGCTTTGGCCTCAGAATTGGCTAAATAGTTAACATTTGACCTTTGACATTCCTCCAAACTGATATAGCATGCATATACATATACATGCATATATACAGTGTGTATATGTACATATACATGTATATATAGCATCCATATATATACACACATGCATATATACATATGTATATATAAACAAGACATGTATATATGTTATATGTATATATGTGTGTGTATATATATATATATACACAAAATATATATACACACACAAATATATATATATATATATATATATATATATATATATGCGCATATTGTGTGTGTGTGTGCATCTGCCAACAGGTACAAATCGGCAGTGCTGGCCGCCAGCATCATCAAGCGCTCTCACCCCCTGACCCCGGCTCAGCGGCTGGTGGGCTGGATTGACCACATCCTCCAGACAGGGGGAGCGGCTCACCTCAAACCCCACGCCTTCCAGCAGCCATGGTATGAGCAGTACCTGTTGGATGTCTTCTTGTTCCTGCTGGTGGTCACCCTGGGCACCATGTGGCTCTGTGGGAAGCTGCTGGGCCTGGTGGTCAGGCGGCTGTGCGGGGCCAGGAAGCTGAAGAAGGCCTGATGCACAGTGACTTGGAGGAGGGTGTTGGGGAGACACTGGTTCTTCGAAGACTTCCCCCAGCACAGGCCATCCCTAGTGTCCCCGTCACCTCCACTTGGACCAAGGCACAAAAGTTGCTTCTCACTATTTTCTGCCTCCGTTTAGAAAATCTTATGAAGCAATCTTGGGCTTCTTTTTTTTTTTTTTGTGGTATGTTAAAATGTACATCACATAAAATTGACCATTTTTACCATCATAAATTTCCAATAAAGGTTGTATACTTTTGTATCTAGAAGAAGCGTTATGGTTTTGTAGCTCCCTATTATTTTAAATGAATTATTACCTCCTTGAAAATGTGATAAAAATAAATTAGGTGATTGTTTTCAAGGTTTTATAAACAGGGGATATAATTCTCAATTCTGAGTATGTTTACAGAAACGTGGGATTGGGCTATATGTACTCTTAACATAGATGCTAGTTGTACAAACAAATGCAGACACTGGCTGGCTGCAGTGTCTGGTTAGTTCCCAGCCAGGACATCTCGATACCTGCGTGAGGAAAAGCAAAAATCTGACAGAAAGGGAAGACGAGAGAAGAGGTCAAGGGGAAATGACCTACCGCTTATATTAGAAAAGTGTGATGGCTGCGATCTGAAAGAGAAACTAGATGCGTTCTCTTGGTTCTCTTTAAGAGAATTAAAGGGGAACCAGTCAGTGAACAGTGGAAAAAGCATTAAACTGGGAATCAGAGGCCCTGGCCATTGCAGCCTCACTTTTACCATTAATTGGCTGTGTGTCCTGGGGAAAGTCACTCAGATTCTTGGGCCTCTTTCTGGACAGGTAAAATGAGGGATTTAGGTGGAAGGTAACCGCCAAAGTCTCTTCAGGCTCTGTCACTTGTCTAATCAGAGACATCATGTGGAAGGGGAAGGTAATTCAAGTTCTCAAGGGGGGAAATTTAGAAGAATAGCTAAGAATTGGCGTTGTCCATTTAACACTCAATAACCCAATTATTTAGGAAGAAAATCTGACATCATTAATGACACTCTTTCACATCCTCTGTCTCACTACGAAATTATGGGAGAAATACTGTACATATTTTCAGAATCAAGATACAAATAACAACAACACTCTGTGGTAAATGCCAAAACTTGAACCTGGGGATTATATTAAAAAGTAGATTAAGTAAAATTCAACTGAAAGTAAACAATTCTTTTTTCCATTGAGTAGCATGTATCAGATAAAAAAGGTCATGAACAACTTTGAAACACGTCTCATCCAGTTATAAAATTCTAGAAGCTTTAATGTTAACCCTTTGTTTCCTGTTGCAATCCAGTGGTGGTGGTGAGCAGAATGGAAAAATGGCCACAAATTTTTCAGTTTCCTTCACCCACAGCTTTGCAGTGTTATCCTGCAGATATTCCCATCAAAAAGTAAAATCTATTTCTCCACTCCTTAAATATTGAGTTTGGGCTAACCATTGACCTGAACTGGCCAGTGGGACATTAAACCCCTTGGGTTCTGAGTTTTCTTAATTCTCTGTGACCCCTGCCACTACATTTCTGGTCTGCTAGAAAATAGGACTGCCACACAGAGGCATCAGGCTTCCCAGCTGGACCTGACGAAGCTCTCAAAGTCAGCCAGCCTCAGCCAACCCACCAGCTGACCACAGGCACCTGAGAGAGACCGCCTGGCACCAGCGAAAGCACAGCACAGGCGAGCCCAGCCCAAACTGCCTCCCACATGTTGGGGTGGTTTGGGATCCATAAGGCATAGTCACAAGCATATTCTTTAAAACTATAACCCTGATTTATTATTCCAAATGAATTCTATACTTGATATAGAATATGTTCTATATTTGGCTGTGTTTAGTTGTCAAGATGAGATACTGTCATAATTGAATTGGCCAGATGTATTCTGATTATTGCTTGGATAACAACACATTATGATTAAAAAGGAAAAAAGAAAAGAAAATTGTTGAATGGCTGAGTCAAGGCCATGTATATGAAGCTTCATTATGAAATATCATCAAGTGTATTAAGACCTGCACCTAAAACTTGAGTGGGGAAGGTTTATTTATTTATTTATTTATTTATTTCATTGAGCAAGTACTTCATGGTTTTTTGGTATTTTTTTCCAAAATTTCATTGAAACATGAGATATATTTTCTCATAGAAAGATATGTTATGGTTAGGTGCTCAGGATGGTCTACAGGTATTTATTCAACGAGTACCATAGAAGAAATATTCCATACCTGAAATCAATAAAATAAAACATAATAGAAGTCACGTTTCTCTTTTAATTATATCTAACCATATCTCAGGAAGATTCAGACAGGTATATAATCCAAACTCCCTCAGTTTGATTGCCAGCCTCCCGCCTCTCCCACGAGCTGGAGCTAGGAGCTTACTCTGGTCCATGTCATTGCTTTAATTCTCCAAAGATGCCCAACCAGCTCTGGTGGAGGAATGAGGCACTGCAGGAAAAACCTAAAAGCTAAGCATTCAAGGGTGTTTTAGTTAAGAAGTGTGGGTGGCATCTGGTGTTCAAATGCAAAATCCGAGGAAATAATACAGAAAAGGTTCTGGAAAGGTGGAGATAGCTGAGATGGAGGGAATCTCAAGAACCAGCCAAGATGCTAGCTGGATGACCATAGAACCAGTTAGGTGCCAAATTGCATTCACAGTCTGAGTATCTCTACTAAAATGCCCAAGAAGCGCTTTAAACTCAACAAGTCCTAAGCTAAATTCACCGGCTCCCCTTCAGGTCTTGTCCTCCCCTAGTATTTCCCCATCTCAGGTGATGACTCCATAAACCTATGACTCTGTGACCTAAAATGTTAGGGCCATCCTAAGTTCGCATTTCTCTCTTGCCACTCCTAATATCCAATACTTAAATGGGCTGTTTTGCCTCCTGTGTTTGCTTTGAAATCACGCCCTACTCCATTCTATACTTATTGAAATTGCCCCTACCTTGGACAACATCAGCCCCTCCTTACCGGGCCCTCCCCACAACCCTTCTCCAAAACACATGCTTTGAAAAAGTCAAAGTGATCTTTCTAGCCTTAAATCTCATCATCTCATTCACATCATTACATTTCTTTACAAATCACTAGGCAAGATACTGACTTGAGCACAGATCTCTGGCTCTCTGGTCAAAAGCTCATATAAAACAAAGGCACATAAACTCTGGGGGAAACCGCAGCAACTTGAGCACTGGAGAAGACACTGCGAGACATTTATTTATGACAGAGGCAGTGCAGAAGCGGAGGGAATCCTCACCTTGACAAATAGCATCTTCTCTTTGGCGAGGACGGAAGGGCAAACAGGCCATGTTGCGCGTGGGAACTTCCCCTCCACCGCTGTGGGGCACCCGCCCGGGGCAGCTGCACAGGGAGACTGAGGCCACCACATTCAACGGAAAGGGGACGGCGGGAAAGGAGTCCCCTTGCTCCATGCCCCAAGCTGGTTCTAGGAATAAAGACTTTCCCAAACACAGAGGAAAAACAGCAGAGAGATGGAGCTCCCAAGATGGAAATGGCCAGAGCACCAACTTTCTTTAATGTCTCTGAGGTTGCTGGATTCCTGAACACATCTCCTGCTACAGCCTTGAAAAAGTGATGCTCATAGGAGTCTGGTGGAGGGGAGAAAAGCCATAAAAAATGCACTCACCCCATTTTCCAGGTAAATATCAGGCTTAGATTGTAAGAATAAAAATAGAAAGAAAAATACCTAGCAGTCAACACACAGTGTTTTATAACATAAATGAAAGTGTTCAAAGTTCCATTACTAGTTAACTACATTTGAAATAGGTAGTTATTTTAAAATCTACTGTTTGATCATTTAATTTTAAATATCTGTAATTCTTCTAATTAAAAGAAAGACTATCAAGATGGCTGAATAAAGGTATATATGAATATAAAGTAAGAAATAACTTTTTAGCATAAAGTGGTGTTATGATGTGAGGACATCCCACTGACGTCCGAGTCACAGTGGCAGATGATACATACACAAGATGCACGTGACATGCATTTAAAAGGCTGCATTTGGTGAAGTTCCCAACACTGTCATTTCACCAACATCCAAATATCTTACCTCTTGTGCCTCATGGGCTATCAACTGGTCCATCAACAGTCTCCGTCGTCTTTTCTCCCTTTGCTCTCGTGCAAAAGCATCTTCTTTGAGGCGCTTTTGGATTTTTTTAATGTATTCATCATCCGAGTAAGTGCTTAACAGATCGGCAGTGGTCTGGCCTGTTGTGTCTAAAGAAGTCTTGGGTGCACTAAGGACAATAATTTTTATTTTAGATTCAAAAAATAACACGACCACTGGCCACTGCTTGTGGCCATGGAGGAAGAGCTCAGGAGAAGGCCCCCTGAGTACCCTGTTCATTTATTAACATAAGCACAAAAGTGGATATTCGGACTGCCGTGTGACGCTCATAGCTTGTCCACGGATCCCATCTGCCTCCCCCCTTTTCTGGACTTGATCTCTGTGAGGTCCCGAGCACAGCCTTTGCTCTAGGTTCATCAGCTCCTTTTTCTTTCACTTCTCACGATCTTCACTCTACCCAGACATTCTGGGTTTCTCTCCCTCTTCTTCCTCCTGGCTCTAGGCCTCTTGCTTCCCCTGTTCTGAGTCAACAGTAGCACCACACTGAGAAGCCAAATGTCGGGGGACTCCGTCAGGTACAGCAATGCCAGGGCGCAGAGTCTCCCATGGCTGGTTCCACCCACTGCCGCTCCCTCGCCCCTGCACCGCCAGCTGCTCTACGGACTCCTGACTTTGGGACGGCTGAGGACAGTGACCCAGCGCTTGCTGGAAGCTCAGCAGGTGAAAGTGGAATTGCTCCTCCTGCCACACGCACAAGCACAGGTCTGGCCGAGCTTCTCGCCCAAGTCCTGGAGACCCAAGGTGGAAAGGCCTATCGTGGGGCTTTCGTCCTATCTCATGTCCAAAATTAAAGGGTCAGGAAGAGCCCGGTCATCTGACCAACACAAAGCAAACACTCAATTCAGTGGGACAGATGGTGGCTTAGAAGAGAATTTATAGATCCTTTCACAAGGTATCATTAAGAGACACACTGACATATCTATAAGGATCAAATAATCAATTCTCATCCGCACACCTCTTTAAAAATAATGCAATACCATGGTATAAGATATATCTTGTCAAGAAATAGTGAATTTTAATATTATAATTATTTTTAATATTATAAGTTATTAATGTATTTGTTTTAAAATATAACATAATTCTATTCAAAAGACAAGGACACAGTATTGTTGTGTATAGGAACTAAATATGCATCAATTCTCACATGGAGAGAAGCACTCTTGTGAAAGCACAGTTCATCCATGTTTAATGAGGCAAAAATTGCATGTTTATGGTACAGATCACATTATATTATAGTGCATTATTGCTAGCTTGGTTGCTCCCAGCCGAACTCTGAGCCCATAAGAAATATATTCTATTTTACTCCTTTCTGTACTTGGGCCTTGTATCCCTGACATGTAGCTAATGTCTGCTACATTTCAAACGATATGCTAAGAGGCACTCTACAAGTGTAATACAATTAAAATCACACACTAAAGTTCTGGTTATTTTATCAGCAGGGGCTCAACCTTCAGTTGCATTCTGTCACTGAGAGTCACTGAGCAGAAATGGAGTAGCTGTCAAAGTCTCAATGCTATCAGACAAAGTTTATCCCCATTTATTTATTAAGATTTAGTACAAGTAAGTATTTATGAAAATTATGTGACATAACGTTTTTAGATCATTCATCAAAATTCTGATTATATTTTTACATAAATGTGTTGTCTAAAAGATTTTGCCCTGGACTGAGCATGGGTTAATAGCTCTTTCCACATTGTATTTATGCTACTAATAATGTAACGAACACACTCCTCCCTCCTCCTTTATTTGCCAGTCTGTCCATTCATCCACCCATCCATCTGCTATCTTATTACAATAAAGGCCTGAACAAAGCTACATGGTACTTTCCTGAATGAATATTCACTTTGCCAGATGTGGGTTTAAACAGGGCAATAACTATGCTTTCCTTATCTGTTTACTTTCTAGGCCTCCAAAGAACTAAGACATGCATGAATTATTAGTAATAGGAACCTTGGCCAAACTTGCAAATATAAAAAAAGCAGTTCTAGGAAGAGCCTAAAGGGAAATGTATGAATCCAATGTCAGCGACCAGCAGCCAGCACCTCAGCTCCAGAAACAAATAGCACATGGCATTTATTCTTTGTCTTAAAAAAGAAAGACTTGCACATGTGGGGAAAAGCAGCCACGGGAACTCTGTGCTCCTCGCACTGAGACATCATTCTGTTCTCCCACCGAGAAAGCACATGAACCTTCAGGTGACATCCCTGAGGAATTGTTCCAGGAGCCGGCTATTAGAGAGGCCGCTGCAGGAACCGCTCCTTAGGGTCCCCCGGTGAGAGGATTTTAGTGCTTTTGGGCATCAAGTAGTATGAAGTCTCTCAACAAGCCCAGAACATGCTTGGTTCTAAGCTAAGAATTCAGAATGTACCAAAAAGTAGTGATTACTGAAGGGGCTTAAGAAGGCTCATTTTGTCCCACAGCCTCTGTTTGCTTTAAAAGTTGGCTCTAGGCCAGTGGCCCCAACAGTTTTCGTTTTAGGGCCCTCAGAGAAAATGGTCTTTGTGCAGCACACTGAAGGGGACTTTCAGTCTCTGATGAGGCTGATGACAGGACAGGTGACTGGTCCAGGGGCTCTTGCTGTCCAGGTCCTATCCTGCCTCCCTGGGAAAACAGGCTGAAATGATTTGGGCTGACAGCCTCTTGCCTTCAGCAAAAACAATACCAGCTGAAAAATAAACTCCTGCAGCTGAAACAACAGAAAGAAGCTGAGAGGGGGGTAGGGCTCAGCAGCAATGCCCTGGCTGCCACAGACGCTGCCAGCATGTAACCCGCCCCGGTGGCTGAGAGATTTAAGACTCTGGGGGGCAGCTTCAGGGGTGGGATGAAGTCGGGTTAGGATGAC